AGACTTATGGACATGTTTCATTCTAACTTCCATGTTACTAAAACACTACACCAACTACCTTCCTCTTTAGTTTTAGCTCCTCTACTCTCCAAGTCCACCTCTGTAAAGCAGTTACCATATGCTCAACTCACAGTTTGCACTTGAGCCTGCTTTACTTGTAGAAGATCTAAACATACACTTAAATGCTTTGCTGAAGAAGAGATGAATTTCCCAGTCATGAACACTTTGGAACCAAAGTCAAAAAATTAAGAAGGCCAGTACCTGGATTTGGGGAAATACAAAGTAGAAGAGCTGGCATGCTTTTAACACTGTCTTGTGAGCCCTTGCTGGGATAAATGTGTGCTTGAAGGGATCAAAAAGAAATGGTAAAATGTTTTATTGTTGCCCAAAGGTGTTTAATACTGTGGAGCAAGGGGAATATAATCAGCATTAAAGTGCTATTCATAAATAATGGACAGTCTAGCAGCTTTTATCTACTCTATACTTTAAGAAAGTTTCTTCTGCTGAATATTTCATGAGCAAAAGGTCATTTATTGTGGCTTTTAAATTATACAATTCAGAAACTGCTAGGAAAAAATTTCTATGTTGCAATGCAATAATGGCTAGTTCTAACTATGTGAAGAAACACAGGCAGCCTAAATACATATTTTGAAACCTACCACATACAAACTACCAGGGACTTCTTTGCCCTGAACTGTAACTACTGATTTTTAAGATGTCCAATCCTATTCAGCAATACAGTATTTCATCTCAAGTGAAGAATAAACTGGCAAATACATTTTCCTAGGATGTCAGTTCTAGTTCATGTTCCTTAACAAAATATACAGCCATTTTCAAGAAAGCTGTTTTTCTGTACATTAAGGTGTATTTCATTACAGCCTTTTAAAATGACAATTAGAGTTCCACATAAACAAAACCATTAAGGAAAACACACTGGCAAACAGGTGAATTGTCAAGATGAGTTAGAAGTAACCTTAGCTCTGTCCCTTGTGAACATAAAGCAACGACACAATCTTATTACCACATCCAGAGACAGATGCTCTGTGGGTGTAGATCAGCATGACTTTACAGAAGTCAGTCATGCTACATCTGGTTTCTATCAATAGAAGCACCAATGCACCTCTCCTTACTATCATAACCTTTTACAACATCACATGCTTATAAATGACCACCACAGGAACCTGCTGCAAACCAGCACGCCTAACATGCCAGTGACTTGCAGCTTTAATAACACCAAAGGAATCGGCTTCAGAACAGTAACAGGTAACATTCCTTAGCCAAAGTTATCCTCAGGGAATGCTTCAGTTCCCTTTCTAACCCCACACTTATAGACCACAGAGCTACTCTAACAACAACAAAACCCCACCAATAAAACCTCACAAAATCCCACAAACCCAACAACCAACCAAAAAACCCAACACAAACCACACAAAAACCCCCAAATTAAAAAGTATGACAAATCATTTTATTTCTAAAAGTAAGATGTTTTCTTCATATGGTAACTGTGCCCATACCCCAAATTCTCTATTTAATTCACAGTCCCCACTTAAAAAACCCAGAACAAACAGATAAGGAAAAAGTTAATACATAAAAGGAGCTATCTGCTGAAGTTAGGAGAAATCAGGACAAACAGTATCATACATGGCAAATCATCTGCACAGAGCACCCTGCATACGGATAACAAACCTATTTGTGGTAAAAAATAGGTCTGTTTACTTATTGAATGACTTCTTATGGCACAGCAAAAAAAAAGGTCTGAGACACCTGGCTAACCTCTAGATCACTCATCTTTCTTAGCAACAAAATACAGTGCAAGTCCCGCAGAGTGATGGAACATACACTAAAACACCACATACAAAGCTGTACTCTAGATTTCAGATATTTTTCTGTGCCTTTGCAAAAATAAAATTGATCTTTAGCACTTATTTCAAATAGGCTTACAGCTTTGTTGAGATGATATGTCCCTCCTACATTTACCAGCAGAAAAAATCAGACAGATCTGTCATGCGTGATTTGGCATTAGACACCTCAACTGCAGCAGTAAGTTTATTTTAAGGAGTCATGTCTGCTACAGTCTGAACCTTACACAACACATTACCATTGCCATACATCTAAAATAGTTGCTAAAGTGTTTATTTATAGACATAGTGAATGTGGTCCTTAATAACTCTGGTTTACTTAGGATGGTATTCAGAAGTAAACATCGTCTCATTTATCTGGGTCTGTCAATCTGGAAGCTGCAAGCAATGCACAGGTTTCATCCTGGCCCACTGCACAGACACAGATTTTTCCTTTGGTCAATAAATTCTCTCAAGACACTGCATTTAAAAGCTTTAGATGTATCAACAGCCAAATCATACTTTTTAAACAGAACTTTTGATGCCTGTTGCAGAGCTAGCAGGAACAAGAAACAATGATACCTATAGGCTTTCCTGCTGCCTTTGATACTGCTCTTTTCTCATCACCTTTCATGAACTTGGGTGTAAAGGTGAAAGAAAAAAATCTTCATTAGGGAAAAAAATTCAAAAGGAAGATGTCTCTGAGGGAAGCAAAGCATCTCAGTTGTGCCCCCTGCTTGTGCAACAAGAAAATGAAGCTTGTGATACTGCTTGCCAAAACAGGCTGCAGCTGGATCCAAAATATTATTGATGGGTAACTGAAGTTTAAACATATCGACAGAGTTAAACGCCAACACTCAATGAAGATACAGACATTCTCTTCTGTTTGATAGTATCTAACAATTTGTCAAGGGAGTGTAATTGAAGCCAAAGACAGCTTGTTTACTCTGTATTAAAATACAGTATTTCATATCACACTGTTAGAGTAAATGATGCATCATGGGGTATTCAGATAGAGCTTCAGATATCTAGGAGAAAATGGGATATGTCAGTTTAGATGAGCAATCCCACAAAGAATGACTGTGATACTCATATAAAACCAAGCTATGGACAAGGTCATAGAATGGAACGACCATGAAGCATCCTACTCCCATTACCCGATGGGAAATGAACTGACTTTAGAAATTAAGCAACCGCCCTGCTTCATATAGAAAAGTCAAAGAACGTATATTCATTTCTCCTACTCCACTCTTATCCCTGGTATGCCACAAACTAGTAAGAGAGACAGAAAACAGACCTAATCATTCTGAGTGCCGGTGTTCAGTGCGCAACTATATCAAGAAATACTTCTCAGAAGAAAATTCTTGCTTTGAAATAAACTTTAGGTGTCACTGAACTCACACCATCGTTCTTAGAGGTCAAACAGGTCAACTTACGTAGCTCTCCTACTTTCAGTATTTCGCAGAGCATCTTCGTCAGCTCAATGCTACTTCGGCCAAATGGGCACTCATGCTTGTCTTCTCGACTGCTGTTCTCCAGGACAATCTGAAGGTGGAAACAAAATGGAAAACAATCAGTTTGAAGAACTCATGAGTTGAAACACTGTCCTCCACATCCAACATTTACAAGATATACCAGACATAATTTAGGAAACTGTATGTTGAGGCTCTATTTTCATAAACCTTAGCCTTCTCCACAGCTATTTGACCTGCATAATTTATGTCATGGCTTCAAACTGAAAGTGAGTAGGTTTAGATCAGATATTAGGAAGAAATTCTTTACTGTGAGGGTGATAAGGCACTGGTACATGTTGCCTAGAGAAGTTGTTGGTGGCCCATCCCTGGCAGTGTTCAAGGCCAGGTTGGACAGGGCTTTGAGTAACCTGGTCAAGTAAATGGTGTCCCTGCCTATGGCAGTGAGGTTGGAAATAGATGACCTTCATGGTCCCTTACAACACAAGCCATTCTATGATTCTATGTCTGAAGTGGTCAGCAACACACAAGCAGTGCGGCTACAGGACCAACTGGAAAGTTTTGCCATTGCTATGCAATATTGCTGTTCTGTACCACCCCTGGCTTGGAGAAATTGAAGTAGAAGCCAAAAATAGAAATAAATACTTTAATTTCAAATTTGCTAGTTAAAAGAAATTAGATACAATTATTTATAGACACGAACACACCTAGAAGGATCTACAAAACCAAAGCAGACCAGAATTTGCACAGCTGGATTCAGTCTCCAAAGGCAGCTCAAGTGTTAAAAATCAAACTGAAGTCCACAAAGGAAGAAAATGTGAGCATTCTCTCTATAATGGAGGAAACTTGTGCTCAACAGTATCAGATACATCAGAACTTAATGGGTAGAAAAATGTGCAAGGAGTTATTTTCTGCCATTTATTTTACAGTGTCACTCAACAAAGAATGCAAAGGCTCTCCGCAAATCATTTTGGCAGCATTCATGGGCTTGATACAAGAATGATAGTTCCCTGATGTGTTTTGCACAGAGCTCAAGCTTCTGCCATTTTCCACCAGAAACCAGGCAAAACCAATGCAATGTTTGATGCCACTAAAACCTTTCTCTCCCTTCCCTGATCTTAGCTGTGACTATTCCCTGTCCTCTTGTGTGCAGAAGCCTTCTTTATGAAGCAGTTAAAAGTGGGAAAAGAGTGAAAACCCAAAGGCAAGTAGCAAAGTTACATGCTTCACGCAACATGCCAAAGCCTCTTCACCAAGCATCTGTTTTAGTCCTACTGTACAAAGGGAAGCCTCTAGCCGACACTTGGCTCCCAACTCAAGACCCAGGGATGTTTGCTCTCTGTGTTATGAGAGTGGATGATCACTTTGTTTTGTTTTCCAGCAGTGGTGGTGGTTTTTTAAAATCATCTACGCCTCCCACAGAATCTTAACAAGTCGTTAGGGATATGATATGTAGTTGACCACTACAAATTTTTACTGTGCTTTTCCAACAGGACAGTGTCAGAATCATGTTCACCAGTCTGCCAAGAGGACTTTTCCCCCTAGAAATTTTGGTTAAATTGCATGCAATTGTTCCATGCCATCTCTGGGTAACAGCCAGACCCAATCAAAGAAACACCCCTGCTATATTTGTTTTACATTGCTGCAGCCACTGTTCAAGGAACACGTGAATATGACTTTGTAGTCTGGATGAGTCATCCTGCTTCAGTCTCCTTCATGGAGGATAGTGCTACATTTCCACACCCAAAAGCAGGAGCGATGATAGAGGAGCACAAGCACAATGTAATGCTGTGTGTCTCAACACCTCCCTGAGATTACTTCTCTTGTTCTTTTTATTATCCTGTTTTATCTCTCACATAATAAAACATAAAATCTGCATACTGGAGCAGGAGCTTGCTTTGACACAGATTTAGATACAGCAGAGAAACACGGGTAATAAAATCAATGGAGAGGCAAATTGAAAGGGCAAGGGGGAGGGAAAGGGAAGCGCTCAGATCAGTATTCCTGCTAGCTTCTGGCAAACGCATTTTGTTGAGTTTCACATTAACCTGACATATTAACATTTCATGAACACATAAATATTTAATGGTGACACCATATATGCATATAATGTAAGGCAGAATTACAGCAATCAATAAGAATGCCAGAGAAATAGTTAAGGCACTGTGTATTGCTATACAGCAAATTAAATGGCAATTTGAGTAATCAACATGTAAAGCAGCCTTGAAATGATCCTCAGACACACTCTATGCAAGCATCAATTTTTTAGCGTTTGCTGTACAAAATAAGGCAGCGCTGCCATGCTACATTTCTTTAAGAAAGGAAGATGGAAGGTCTTTTATTGCATCTAAATATCTGAAGACAAACTTGACAGATATGGATCTTTTGTAAGAAACAGCAACAGTAAAAGGGAAAGGAAAAAAAGAGAGTCTTATAAATACCCAAAGAGGAATCATTCCTAGTCTTGGCAACAGATTTACAACATTCATTATTATATTTGCAATACTCTTTTCACGACTTCACAACTCATATCCTGTTCCAAAGTAAAATGCTATAAATACAGCTGATAAGGGCATGATTTTAATGTTATTTCCTTTATCACTCTGGTTACAGAGGAGAAATAAGCAGGGAATGGACATGTTTACTTCATAAACTGGTGGAAACAATAGCAGGGAAGGAAATATAACACAGCTCAAGACTGAAAATACTTTTCTGTGTCTACAGAGCATACTGCTGGCTTGATTCACATTTCTATCACAACAGTTATTTTACCAAGGAAAGGAGAGCTGTGTGGAAGTCACAAGCCCACACAATCCTCATGTAAATGGAGGTCTATCATTAATGCTCATGAAGTGCTGCACCCTATTATCTTCCTCCTCCTCCCCCTCAAAAATCCACAGTGACTTGCAGATCCACCAGACATTTCACAATCAGCAGCTACAGTGGTTAACATTTGCTTGGGGAAAACAAATATTTAAAGGCAGAGACAACGGACATTGCAGGAGAACTCTTGGCACCACAGATTCATAGAATCATTTAGGTTGGAAAAGACCTTTACAATCATCACGTTCAACTGTTTACTTAGCATTGCCAAGTCCACCGCTAAACCATGTCTTTAAGTGCCTCATCTACATGCCTTTTAAATACCACTAGGGATGGTGACTCAACCACTTCCCTGGGCAAATTGTTCAAATGCTTGACAACCCTTTCAGTGAAGAAATTTTTCCTAATATCCAATCTAAACTTCCTCTGGCACAACTTGAAGCCATTTCCTCAAGTCAAATTGCTTGCTTCTTGGGAGAGGAGACTGATCCTTACCTCACCACAACTTTCTTTCAGGGCATTGTAGAGAGCAATAAGGTCTCCACTGAGCCCCCATTTCTCCAGGCTAAATAACCCCAGCTCTCTCAGACAATCCTCATCAGACTTGTGCTCTAGACCTCTCATCATTTTCATTGCCCTACTCTGGACCCACTCCAGCACCTCAATGCCTTTCTGATAGTGAGGGGCCCAAACTGAACATGAAATTTGAGGTGGAGCCTCACCAGTGCTAAGCATAGGGAGACGATTACTGTCCTAGTCCTGCTGGCCACACTGTTGCTGATACAAGCCAGGATGGTATTGAGCTTCTTGGCCACCTTTGCACACCACTGACTCACATTCCATCTTCCTTCAATGCTACCTTGACTCTGATCTATTTGGATGCCCTTTATTCTGATACTAGGAATCTACTTCTGCCAGTTTTTCATTTTTTCAGTACTTGCAGAGCTACAGAATTCGGTGGGTGGAAACACAGCTTATAATATGCTAGATAATATATAATCAAACCCCAAAATGAGATCACAGTACAGGAGTACTAAATTCTGCAGATCCTCTGCCTTGTTTCTTTGATCAATACTGCCCATTACCATGAGGCAAAGCAGAAAGCCACCATGATGTGTAAGGCTCAACAACAATATGTCTTTTTCTTTTGGGAAAAGCAAAAAAAAATCCAGACAAAATTCTCAATTAAAATAAAATAAAAAGAGAAGAAGATTACCATGAGAGGGCAGCCAGGAAAGGTCTGAGTGATGTTCTTTAAAAACAAACCAAACCAAACCAGCAAAACAACAGCAGCTCAGAAAATTGAAGCAAAAAGATAAAGTGAGAGACGCATAGAATGAGAAGAAAATGATATCATGGGAAGAATGAGATGAATTGACTAGCAGAAGAGGAGAAAGGAAGAGGTTTAAAAATGTTTTTAAAAATGTAAGGAGGTGAAACTTTTAGGAAATCAGTGTTATCCATTTTCTTGACATTTCTACAGGATGAAACTCTGCAGCCTGCTAAGTCATGGGAATTTGACAGTACTTGCAGTAGAATACCGATCTGTATAGTTCTTCTTATTTTAAGTTACGTACTATACATATTATTATATACACATATATAGATATGGAACTAAATCCAGCTGTTGGCCAGTCACAAGTGATGTTCCTCAGGGCTCAGTATTTGGGCTGGTCTTGTTTAACATCTTTAGCAATGATTTGCATGAGGGGATTGAGTGCCCCCTCAGTAAGTTCACAGATGGCACCAAGTTGGATGGGAGTGCTGATGTGCTGGTGGGTAGGACGGCTGTACAGAGGGATCTTGACAGACTGGACAGATGGGATGAGGACAACTGTATAAAGTTCAGCAAGATATCTACCAATTTTATTTTTTAATAATAAATTTTTAAATTAAGATAAATAACAATATAAAATACATGTGAAATAAATAAATAAAGGAGGGTTAAAATTTAAAATAAAATTAATTTAAGTATCATGCCAAGATCACAGAGGAATCATGCAAATTCTCAGTAGCAAAAAAAGGGGAAAAAAAAGCCAAATGAGACACCAACCCCCAAACCAAAAGATTATCTAACTTTACAGCAGTGTTCCTTTATGATCTTCCATAGAATTATTCATGGAGTCCATCTCTACCTCAGGAGCACAAAATAGACCCTCAGGGAGGCAGTGGACTAAATGAAGGATTTTCCACATGACTCCCATGGGCTTAAAAGTCTGCATCAGCTCCAGTAATGGAGCTTATATCTGC